CTTCTACACTATCAGTAGCTCCTCCTTTTCCTCCTACTCCAATGAGAGCTCCCCCCACTAAAAGACAAGCATTAGGATATGGACATTCATTTAGTTCAATGGATCTCACTAAATTAGGATCCACTGGTACACTCTAATACTGAACATGCATGTTAACTATTATTATTATTATATTTTTAATTCTCTCTCTCTGTTTCTAATGAGATGTGACGTTATTATTGTAATCTTGTCTTCTCTCTATTTCTTTACAATTATTAATTAAATTAACAATTTAACACTACAGTAACTGGATGTACTAGTATTCAATTCCTTTGCTCTCAGCGTCTTTTCTTTCTGTATGATCTTCACAAATTTTTTTCTTCATCATAACTTATGCCTCATTTTGTCTCCAAGGGTCAAGTTTTAATTTATAGTTGAGGTAGTATACATGTACATGTACAGCATTAGTTCAATTACTACTAAGCACGGTAGATCACAATGACATCAATTACAATTTGTCAGTATATCAAATGCTACTTGCACTAGTTTTTAATGCCAAACAAAGCAATAATAATGATAGTACAAACTATACTACTGTCAGCTTTAGCATTACGTGTACGTATATATTAACTACAATAACTACAGTGTAGACTATTAATCATATGTAGATCTAAATTTTTAAACTGTTGCTAATGCACTTGCTACTTCTTCTTTGAGTTCTGTTGCTTCTTTTTTAAGTGGTCAGACTTGTGGCATCAAAATGTAATTCTCTTCATCAGCATAGATATCCTGAAATATGTACTTAATCATGTATTGCTATTAATATTGTTACTCATACCCCTGGAATAAGTTGTTCATCACTTATTAATTCTCGTAGTACTCTATTAAAATTGGTTATTACAATACAAGTAATAAATAATTAATCATAACTTACTCTTGTACTTCCTTTATAAGGTCTTTGTCACCACTTACAAGAAATATACGTAGTTGTTTAGCAGCAGATGGTGGTGGTTGTGCCTATTGTATTAATGTATATTTGGTCATTTTAGTGATACTTTTAACTGACCCATTCGTGAGTCCATTGTCCTGTTCTTCCATCACTAGTGTAATAATATTGGGTGAGAGCATTCCAATTCTCATATCTCTAAATCCTAAAAATAGTATGTTTCTTATAATTATTCATTATTGTACTGACATCTTTTGAAAAACACTTATGTGATTCACCATCATCACACCTCAAGACATGAACTTGGTTTAAAAATACCCTGTAAATTGTAAATAATTAGGATAGATAATTTTGATTCAATTTGACATGCACATGACAACAAATTTGCCAAATACCGGGTACATGTATTTTTTATATATGGGAAATTAATTTAAACAATAATCTTACTTCCAGTGAAAAGTGACACTCATTTCCACTACAGCTGCATGTCTCATTGTACTGTCAATCATATTAACATCTAACCCGCTCTTTTTATTATATACAATCTGATGTATCATTGAATTATGGTTGTACATTTGAATTGCATCATACCTTATGTAGAAAGCTTTTATCTTTATGCTGTTCCTACAAATATAATTATTATAATAGTAATATGCCAAGGTGATAGTTTAAACTATATGTGAAAGTATAATGCTTTGTAAACTCTGCTTGTTAGGTTATGCTGCCATGGTAGCTTATAATCATGATTTCTGGTGCTTTTTAGTACTGAATACCTGCAGTGCCTCTTGTGGTGCAACCCTTAAATTTTTCAAGCAAACTGAAATAAGTAACTTACATATCCTGTTCCTTGGATAAGCTCTTTAATGAATGCAACATCTTCCTTGGGATTATCAAAATGTTTTTCAAAAGAAGCCATTAAACCTTCATTATCTTCTAACATATAGTGAAACATCTTAACTGATGCTTCAGAAATATTCTATCAAAATTATAAATTTAACTAATGATTAATAATACTTTACCTTCCAAGGCTTGCCGGATTTATTTTTTTCATATATTGCATCTAAGAACATATCAAAAACGGTGTGAGAGAAAGGACCATGACCCAGGTTATAACAAAGAGGAGCCGATTGTACACACAAAACCTCAGACTCAGTAATATTCAGACCATGTTTTTGTATTCATCGTTGTCAACTTTTGCCTGTTTTTCTTTATTACTAACAATAATAAATATTTCTTATTATTATGATCTAAAAAAGACGATAATTATTATAAATATATAATTACATCACACCTTTGATCAGCTGATGTGGTTTTCTTCACATTAAGAGGTGATCGTGATCTGTCTAATTAATTAATTAATTAATACTGGTAGCATTACGATACAGTACCTACCTCTAAATAATAAAAATAGTAGGTGGCAATAATAATAATAATTTAAAATAGTTACCGTATATTTAAAGACTGATCACTACTACAGGCTCAAGTATTATTAATCTACTTCCCATAGTTTAATACTTATCACTGCTTATATTACCTCTTGTGCTGCCTGTGCCTCTCTTTGTCTCTTTTATCTTCTCTTGATCTTTTACTACCCCCCGGTACTCATTTTACAGAATAAAATCAATAAATTTTATTTAGGCTAATTATTTATTCATGAGATCAATGAATTCTAAATGAATATTTTGATGACGAACAGGAAGTTATTGAAACGGGACGTGACGTCATTATCTTTTTTTTTAACTAGTAATTAAGGACATTAATAATCAATTAATTAGGAGTCACATGTACAGAAATACTGAAATAGTCTCAAGAGGTACTTTGAAACTCTCGCCTTTTCTCCCTTTCTCTAGTCCAAAGGCTATGGGTGAGAGGGCTGAAGATGATGAAGAAGGTCCTCAGTCAACAATAGGAGGAGCAGTAGGAGGACTAACCAATAGAGCCTGTCACTCGCCACAGTCTTCTCACAGTCTTCTCTGTAAGCAGAGAAGACTTTGTGAAACTAACCTCTTCAACATATTTGATGGCATCATTAAAAATGGAGTGAGTGATGTACATATACAATGTACATGTACATGTAATTCTATATTATTGTTGGACCAGTATGGCTTTTTCAATTTTAGTTCTAGTTTAGTTCTATCATAGGCAAAACTGCAAATAGTTCTAGTTCTAGTTCCTTTTTTTGACTGTTACAAGAATAGTTCTAGTTCTTGTAACTTTTTAGTGTAAAATTTATTGGGTTAGTTCTAGTTATGGTTCCTACATATAGCTTTTAGTATAGACCCTATAGGGCGCTAACTTCTAGAAGCAATTATAGATACCGTATATGAGACACTATTCGTAATCTTCCGTATCCTATCCGCATTCTTTAATGAAAAAATTTCGAAATTCTCCTGCTGGACGGCAAAACTAGGCAAAACCAATGGATAGGAGGCCAAAAGCAGCCTTTATGGACAAGTGGCTTCAAGTGCAATGAAGCTTTTTCTCAGGAGACATTCTGGGCTCTATTCTTCACTGTTACTGGCATTTATTGCCACCCAAACAAGCTCTGGAAGCCACGAAGGCCTCTTGTTCCTTGTTTCCCCATGTAACTACACGGTATCTTGCCGTCCAAATCATGAGTGTGGGTGGATACCGTAATGCAATAATTACTTGCAGAACTTAGCGCCCTATAGGGTCTATAGTTAGTCCTAGTTCTAGTTCCTTGAAATTTTTACTATTAGATAGTTCTATACTATGTCCCAACTGAGAATGGACTGGAAGTGGAGCAGCTGCATTGGAATTTGAAAAATGTATCTACGTCATCAGTGACATGTTATAATGATATTTTGGCTGTGTTGTTTAACTCTTAAAACAGTCTTGCTGTTACTGATAAGCAGTACAATAGCTACTGGAGTCAACTATTGGTCGAAAGCACTGTAAAAAACCAAGAAGATGAATCTCACTTACTACCAGAGTACTACCGCTATTGCTGGGCATTCTCTCGTGAGTTAAAAAGCTTCCAGTAGCTAGAGCTGCTCTCTAAACATCTATAGGTAGTAAAGAAAGACTTCTACTGACAGAAGATTAAGGCCTCACAGATTAACTGATAAATTATTAGCCTCAGTTGAAATTATTAGTACCCGCCCTCAAATAGTACCCACCCTCGAATAATAGCCTCATTTTATCTTTCCTGAAATTAATAGTAGCCGAGGGGTCTATTCAAGGAAATACAGTAGTTCAGTTACATCTGGTGTGGGTCCTGGTTCAGCCTAGTCTGGCCACCCAGACCCAACCCCTGCGGGAGAAGGGTCTGGTACAATGCTTAACAAGACTTTGTGCAGAAGGAAGCCAAGAAATGTAGTTATTTATTAATTTTAATAATAGTTAAAATCATGTGTTAATGATAATAAAGGATGCTTTTGAGTGCTATGGTCAAAGTTCTCAGGAGAATGAGCTATTTGCCGTTAAAAGAGGAACAAAATGACTTGCTTAACATGAGTCCGAATCGTGTTCCATCATTTCAACATTTCTTGCCTTGAACCATCGAGAGAATAAGTTCCCGACTAATACTAGGCAGGACAGAAACCCTAGTTAGTGTGTGTAGAGCTCTTCTTATGGCCTGGTTTCCACAGTCAGTGCCTTGATATTACAGTACAACACGCCATTTTAATACTTAACAATAACTACAATGAATATTTATTAAAATAATAGTTCTAGTTCTAGGTTGCGACAATGATTATATATTTTAGTTATAGATTAGTTATTAATTTCATAACACTCTTAGTTGTAGTTCTATAGTCCGGTACAAAATTTCAGTACGGTTGGTTCTAGTTCTGGTTTTATTCTGGATTTTTATGTTGGTTCTAGTTCTAGTTCCAGAACTAAAGGGGAAAAACCCAAGAACTAATAGCGAAATAGTTCTAGTTCTGAGAACTAGAACAACAATATTCTATATGTCTTTGTCTTCCTTACAGTTATGGTGTCACGTTGGCAGCATGTACAAATACATGTACCATATTTCCTTAAATAAAAGCCTGGGCGTCTATTTCCTAAAATGATATTTGGACCTCCAAAAAATATATTAAAAAAATTAAAAAAAACTTGGACCCAGAGCGGTTTTCGAACCCGTGACCTCATGCTTTTGACTTCTGGAACTTCAGGCATTATCCACTAGACTACTGAGTCACTCCTGGGCTAGTGTTGCATATTTATAGTTAAATTGTATTGCTACCCCGGCGTTTATTCGAATGCAGTTTCTATTTAAGGAAATACGGTACATGTAAGAATGTAATAAACATGGATGCTCTTATTTGCCAATAAAATAATTTTTCTGAGTTGCTCAAAAATTGGGCCAAAATCCCTGTACTATTAGTAATGCAGTAGCGTTACTAAGTAGGATTCACCCCACTTCAAAATGGCTGCCACAACTTTTGCAGCCTTGCTATACTGGGAAAACAAGCTCCTATGCTTACCAGACTTCTTAGAGGACCTTATCTTGACCAGAGGACTCTATTGGTACCACTAGCATGGCTCTAAACCTTGTCTAAGAGGAAAGTCAAAAATCGGCAAATGGGCCATTTTTTCAGCCACTTTTTTATCTTCATCTTCATCAAGAAGTACAGTATAGTTTGAAATTTTGTGGAATGTAAATTTCGTGGTTTTTGTGCTTATGGGCTGCCCACGAAATCATTGAAGTGCCATCCCCTTACAGGCTATGTAAACTGTCAACCAAGAAATTTAAACCACGAGTTGCCCCACTAGGAGCAAACCACGAAAATATTGACCTACGAAAATTTCAAGCTACCGTAGGTCGGGATATATTCGCGGCTGCAATAAGACTTATTCATAATTAATTAGAATATACGGTCAAGAGGGCAATGCCGTAACTTGCCTGTGCTTGCCAATGGAGATAAACATAAAAAGGCTGCTGCTGTTGCTGTGTAAACTAGACACAGACCAATGAATTATAGTTTCATAATAACTGATTTAAATGAGAAGAATTTATCTATGTCTATAGCAGCTGTTTTAAAATTCTATTTGAAGTGTTATAAGCATTTGAGTAAAAATCCAATTTGAGAGGCAATGCCATGAGAAGTTAAATATTTTTCCAGCCTGATGTGTCACTACAATCTAAAACTGTTATACTGACCTAAAATTTATCTTACTTATCTTAGTTTATACAAGAAAACATGTATTTATACAATCACGGTACTATGATCCAGCTGCACATCAAATCAACGGCAGTGCCCTCTTGACCGTATTAATTCCAATATTTATGAATAAGTCTCATTGATGAGAAACCACAAGATGAGTACTCTAGTGATGATGACTATTTACCAATTAGAACAAAAAGAAAATTGACGAGAAGATTGAAGAAAGCAAAGGGTATGTTTACCAGTATAACTAAGCATAATTTTTGTATTGCATCTTATTAGGATCTCAAGTAACTGTACCTCTTATCTCTGTTGCAACTGAGACAACTATAGCTGTCAGAGACATAGGCATACAGTGCAATTTGCTGTATCCTGAGTATTTTAGTGACACTGATGAGTCATCAGTT